ATTTCACAGCACTGAAAGAAATCCAGGCAGCTGCTGGACTGGCAGGGCAGCACTAACACCTTAGCCTGCTTTAGATTATTTGGCACTTCTTAAAATGCCCTTTATTCCTCTTACTTACAAGTTAAGAGTCTCATTACGGATAATCTGGAATTTGGGAGCACTTGCTTTATAATCTTAGTTCTGCCACTCACTCCTCTGTGGCCCTGGAAGTTTCTTGTTTCCTGTACCCACCTTCCCATCTTTACCATGGGTCTGGTGTTTTCACTCCAGGTGGCTGGCAGGGATTGGATATTGTTGAGTACATGAATTCAAACCACAAATAATGTTAATGGAAATCATCAGATGGAGGAAAAGTTGCAGATTTAAGGAGGGGGGAGGGTTTAAATGCTTTTCCTCCCCACAAAGACAGACAGTGATGCAGCTGAGCAGACTGCACCATGTGCCTGCCAGTTCCTGGTGTGCTGGGTTTTCAGCACCTGTTTTCCACTGGAGAGTGTCAGTGGTAGATGCAGTTACTTCTGTTGCACGGAGTAATTCCAGCTCTGGGGACAGAGTCTTGCTGGCCTGCCCCAAAGCTTAGCTTCTCCCACTGGAAAACCCAGCAACAGCTCCTGGCCTGTGCTGGTGGCACCAGGATGCACCCATCACCGTTGGTGGTGGGGAAGGAGAAGATCACCATCCTTTCCACTTCTGATGTGAGGGTGCTTGGGATCAGCTGTGTGTGCACAGGCAGAAAATGCAGCTCTAAATCAATGAGGCAGTACATGCTCTGTCACATTTGCCTACATTTGAAGTGGCTATAAAAGCAAATTGGTGCTTCTGCATTTTTACCCCATTGATTTGAGGGCTGAATTTGGTTCGCAGTGTCCTTTTTTGTGTGTTTATCAAGAAAGGTTTGTGCTTTTCTCTGATAAACTTCACTTACAAAAGACTGTTTGGGATATGTAGGAAATAAACCCCTTTGTAGGGTCGTGCTGGGTTGAACGTGTTTTTTTCTTGTCAGTGCACAGTGACCAAGAGCTGACCTAGAACCCGTAGCATTTCTGTGTGGTGACGAGGTTGTATTTCCCTTTTTAACTTGCCCTGTTTTTCATTGTAGGCTTGATCCCTATGCAGATCCCTATTATGACTATGAAATAGAGCGGTTCTGGCGTGGTGGGCAGTATGAGAATTTCAGGGTTCAGTACACAGACCCAGATCCATACCGTAACTACAGAGTAAGTAAGGTAATAACCCCTTTCTCTGCTTTTCCTTTCAACTCTCTTCCAGGTACTTCTGGTGCTTGTCACGTTTCCAGGCAGTGGTTGAAACGGGGCTTTTCATGTATGGTCACAAACTGAAGCACAGGAGGTTTAACCTAAATATAAGAAACTACTTCTTTATTCTGAGGGTGACAGAGCAGTGGGACAGGCTGCCCAGGGAGCTTGTGGAGTCTCCATCCCTGAAGACATTCCAAACTCTCCTGGATGTGTGTGTGGTCTCCTGTAGGGGAGCCTGCTCTAGCAGGGGGTTATACTAGATGATCTCCAGAGTACCTTTCTAACCTCTACCATTCTGTCATTCAAGATGCTTCATCTTACAGATGGTTAAATCTTGAGTTAATTACTGCACAGAACACACTCTGAGGTGCAGGGATGGGAGGATGTTCTGTTTCAGGGTGGTGAAGGCAAAAGCATGTTACTCTTCATGTGCACCAGCTGCTCCTCTGTGGACCAGGCAGTTGTGTAGCACCTACGGCCACATCTGCATCCGTTCTTGGAAGTGCTGGAGAGGGAGGGAGTTTCCAGGAAACAACCTGAGGGACAGTTTGCTTATTTCTTGGGACAGAGAGCAAGGATTAGATTTGGGCAGGTGTGCTTTGTGTACAGACGGAGGCTCTGGCATGACTGTCCCACCACTGGCAGAGCTGCACGTTGGTTGGTTGAGTCAGAGGAGGAGAGGGCCCAGGCAGCAGCCCAGGGCCCAGGTGCAGCGGGTGGTGTTGCCCTGCTCTACGCTGCTCAGTGAAAATCAGACTGTGAACCTTTTCCCTCTGCTTCCTTTTGCCCTGGTGCAAACTGCTGTGCCTGCAGAGCCAGTGGCAAGAAGAAAGTCCTGCTCAGCAGGGAGCTTCTCAGTGGCATTTGTCACCTCCATTAGGGTGGTTTTCCCTTTGCTGTGAGACCAGGTCTCCAGGAGCTGTGCACTAACTGAGCTGTTGTTGCCCATGATGCGCCATCGATTCTTTTTCCTGGTGCATGTTTATAAAGTGAATTAGCTCGTTACAAACATGATTAGCAATGAGAGTAAATACTTGTCAACACCAATGCATTTATTTAATAAGAATCCAAATTAATCTTTGTTGTCTCTGACAATTACAACAGTGATGAGTGTGTGTTGTTCCTCTCTCCTTTCTGCCTGCTCAGCACACAGTGATTCCCAGCTATTTTAACAGGGAAGGGGGTGTGGAATTGCCTGTGGGCCAAGACTTGGGAGCCTTGCTGCCCGCTTTGCTGGGAGATGTCACCACAGTGCCACGGTGATTTGCCTTTTCTTTTTGAAGGAAAGGGAGCGAGAACGGGAGAGGGAACGAGAGAACAGACAACGAGAAAGGGAGCGGGAGAGGGAGCGAGAGCGGGAACGGGAGCGGCGCCAGCGGGAGCGGGAACGAGAGCGGGAGCGGGAGCGCGACAAGGAGCGTCAGCGGCGGAAAGAAGAGTGGGAACGGGAGAGGGAGCGAGTGAAGAGAGATGAAAAAGACAGACAACACAGGGACCGGGACAGGGATCGAGACCGGGACAGGGAACGTGAGAAGGAGAAAGAAAAGCCCAAGCCCCGGTCCCCGCTGCTGCCAAGGTAAGTGTTTGCTGGAACTCAGGCTTGGCTCTTCAGTTGGTGTTGGTTTAAGAGTGGATCACAAATCCATGGGTCACAGTGGAGAAGATCCCTATTGTCCGTAAAGTGGTAGTTGCAAGAGGAAGGCAAGGCTTTAAGTGAGCCTTGCTGGCCACTAAGTGGAGCTCAAACATCAGTAAGAAGCAGGCATGTGTAACCTGAGGCTGAAAGGAAGGGAAAGCCGCTGTCTAGGCACCGAGATGTTCCTGTTCCCCTGAGGCTAGAGTGTGTCTTGGGTGGTTGGCTGAGTCCCCAGTGCTGAAAGAGACCTACAGATGGTGGCAGCTCCTTTTGTGGCTTTGACAAGAGTCAGGGCTGCTTTGGGAGTTTGTGGATAGCAAAAGTGTCTGCAGATTTGTAAGTGAAGCTCCCAAAAGAGGCTAGAAAGGTAAAGGGTTTGTATGCCTTGGCATGTTACAGAGGAATTGCAGTGTGGAGCTAGGTGTCTTGCCTCTGACTGCCCATTTTTTCTGAAAATCCTGGTTATGACTTGTGTGAAAGAAAAAAATGAATCAAAGTCTAGGAATTTCCAAAGTGAATCCTGTTTTCTTTCTCTGTCAATTAGTTAAGTACTGTGGCTCACCAGTGTGCCGGGTGTCAGGCATATTTGTAAAGCACTGTCTAAATATCACAGCTGAATATAGAACTTGTCTTCTGGGAAGCTCTAATATCACATCTTCTTGGTTCAGAATGAGAGAGAAGTGGCAGATTTCCTGCT